TGAAAAAGAAAAAAAAAAAAAAAAACCCCGCCCGCCGCAACTCCAAAAACACCACCGCAACCCCACAATAACACCACGATTCTGCGCCAATAACACCATAATACGACCCCCAAACTATCGCAATAACACAACCTCAGCAACTCCTGTAATAACACCGCTGTAACCCGACAATAACACCACGGTTCTATGCCAATAACATCATAATACTACCGCAATAACACAACCGCCACAACTTCTCCAATAACACCACCGCAACTCGCAATAACACCACAGCTCAGTGCCAATAACACCACAATACTATCCCGACTAGGGTTGTCAACTTGACTCGTCATTCGCGAACAGCTTGTGTTCGGCTCGTTAAACTTTTAAGCCAAATTTTTAAGCTCGAAATATAAACAATTAGCAGATTGTATTAGATGTAGAAGAGACCAATTATTATGATAAGTTAACAGTACAAGTATTTACCTTGAAATTAGATAATTTTCTTACTCTTAACTTCTACAACCTTTTTCAAATAAACACCGTTCTCAACTTTCACATCTTTTGCACAACCAACAAACTCGATCTTATCTATAATGCAAATTAAAATGAACAATATTAACTCATAAAATTTTAATATTAAAATAAAACACTTTTAATTCTAAAAATTTATTTAATTAAAACATAAAACCATAAACCTATACGTTGATTACGCTCTTTCAAATTGAAAATTCTTCCTCCCTCTTTACTTTGGTTCGGTTTGATACAACCCTTCTCACACTACCACAATTCTTGTCGAATTCCAATGATAACATTATTAATCCAATTATTATAACATAAATATTTTTCCACTTTAATTATAAAAGCTATATCTTCGTTCGATCCTAAGCCATGTATCCTCTTCTGCTCGGAACTCATAGAGATCCCGTAAGTTTTCTGCATGGGCTCTGTCGGTCAACTTTTTTTTTTTTAAATTATTTTGAAATTTAATTTAATATAAAAGATATATAATTTGGGTTTTGAAAGTAGTGTGTTTTTATTTTTGAAAAATGAGACCAAATGAATTTCATTCATTCAATAGTTTGTATAATTGTACTGATATCGCGAATACTACACCCTCTTGAAAGATAAGTGTATACCTCGGCGATAGACTCAATCCTGCAAATTAATAGATTTGTGACATCCATTTTGTCTGCAAATCTTTTATATGTGACTGACAAGTTCTCTTATCTAATTCAAAGATTGAATAGAGTTTATTTTACCTGGTTTTCTTATAGAGGCAAACCTTTATGGTTAATTATATCTCATATGACTGGAGTCACCTGAGAAAACTCTCGATAATTATCAGACGTACTAGTTTTCAAGAATTCAAACTTTAGGTTTTCACTATAGGACGTGGAAAAACAAATAAGAGTAGCTCAAGTAGGAACAGTTATTTTATGAGTCTAAAGAAAGTAGAAGGTAGGAGACGTCACAGATCCTGAGGAGAAACCTCAGTGACTTCCCAAACTATCCTACCGTGTGACTGAGTTTTGGAGACGATGCTATTTAAGTGTTTAATCCTGTCAATTTTATTTTTTGGAACTTACATTTGCATAATATTCGATTATGCAAATATTTCGTAGAGATAAAAAAGTTTACTTCGTGCCACACAACAACCTCAGAATCTATGGGGAGTTATGACTTAACAATGTTGCACAGGAGCCTAAAGAGCATGTGAGGATTTACTTCACGCTGGGCGAGCTTCCTCGAAGTCCTATGAGTTGTTTTTTAGACTAAGGAGAGAGAGATTGCTGAAGAAGATCCTCTTGCTGCTCGGTCTGAATTCCTCGCCATGCTGCCCACAAATTTAACTCTGAACCTTCTACTGTAGCGATGACTCCAGGGTTTAAGTGTTTGAGATTGGTGGTTTGTGTTTCACAGTTTTTGTGTCAAAATTTGTTTTTATTTTGTTTTTGTTTTTGTTTCGATTTCAGTTCTGATTTTGCATGCAGAATAAACAAATTGTAGGTAAATAAAAAGTACTTGAAAAGTAAAATATTGTAAATAAAGTGTAAAAGCTTACCTGGGCATTTGCTACTGTTGCGTGATTAGTATTGCAAAGATAGTATGATTTGAAGCAGATTTAAATAAACTTGGAAGAAAAATAAGCAAATCGAGAAAACCCAACACAAAAATTAGAAAAATGAATCGTAGCAAAAAACGAACTGGCAAAGCAAAATCTGCAGTCACATATGGAAGACCAAGAATAGGTATAAGCCATCAGTAAAAGTGGGGGCTCAGAGCTGTACTGTGCTTTCCAATCTTTGGTAAGAGTTACCAACTGGACAATCTATAGAATGCAGTTCTTAACCTCAATCCAAGTGATTAGCTGTGGACCTTTATAAATTTTTATAGAAAAATTATTTGATTTTCATACAAAAACTGTTGTTTAAGTCTTTTTTTTGTAGAGTTCTTTTAAACATGCAAAAGAGATTTTATTTTATTTTTGTAAATATTTTGTAAAGTCGTGTAGTCCACAGTCTAGTCACTCTAATCGTGTTAGAACTACTGACAACCTAAGTGCGTCGGGGGCAACAATCCTACTAAGAGTTGGCGAATAGTATCATCTGTCATTTCCTCTCTTATTGAAGATCCTTGATGTATGAGATATTATTCTAATAATCTCACTTCGTATCCCTCATTTAAGCTCACATAAGCAATGTCATCATTGCCCTCGCCACCTAGATCATAGACATATTCTAGACTGGTGATTCGTATGTGTCATTAACAAATGTCCCCAATTGTCAAGAGGATTTGAGTGTAATATTCAAGATCAAATCCCGGTGCACTGAGTTTCAATATCGATTAAGTCATGGCGGGAATTCAACTATTGATTTAATTAAGGAAGCATGAACTACATCTCGGTGCATCATCTTGTCTAGTGTCTTAATCAATTTGTGAATGAGGGTCAAGTGTAGTTTCATTATTCGTTCGAAAATTAAGTAGATGAACACTCACCTAGGGTGTGCTCCTAAAATTTAGAAGCCTACACTGAAAAATTGGGTAGATGAACTCTCATCTAAGGTGTGCTTCTGAAATCTAGAAAGCCTATACTTTAAATTAGGTAGACGAACTCTCACCTAGGGTGTCCTCCTGAAATCTAGGAAGCCTACACTGAAAATTAGGTAGATGCACTCTCACCTAGGGTGTACTCCTAAAATCTAGGAAGTCTACACTGAGAATTAGGTAGATGAGAGTCCGAGGGTGTACTCCTTAAATCTAGCAAGTCTACACTGAGAATTAGGTAGATGAGACTCGGGTGTGCTTCTAAAATCTAAGAAGCCTATACTGAAAATTAGGTAGATTAACTCTCGCCTAGGGTGTACTCCTAAAATTTAGGAAGCCTACACTTTAACTTGTGCTTAAAGTAATTTAAGGTGTTTTATTCTCAGTTAAGTGTTTTGCAACTAATTCTTAAATATTTTTAAGTGTCTTTCAAATAATTAAATCAGAAATTCTCATTTTAGTTGACCATTGTGAAAGAATCAAAACAAAAGAAAAAAAAACAGGTCGATCCACCCCCAAAACTAGCAACTAGAAAGGGGAGAAACAGAAAGTGAATCGGTCCTGAAAGTGCTTCAATTCTTTCAACAACTGTAATTAAATAGACTCTCGAGAAGAGTGCTCAAGATTGTTCCAAAACAATGTTTTGATC